AAGCATTTGTGACATCAGTGTGTTGCTGTTGCTTGTCAAAACGCCCTAGCAGGTCCTGCACACCCGGGTGGCTTAAGCAGACAGGACCAGGGGACAGAGCTGTGGCTTGTGACAGGCCTGACTTTGGCTCCAGCACAAGGTCTGGCTGTTACCCCACTGACTGGATGCTAGCAGTCAAGTCCGCCAGTAAAATCCAACAAGATGCCAGAAGCAGAGATGTGCTACAAGACAGGAACGTCTTGAAAGGGTAGAGTCAACTCTTGGGGACTGTCATCCCAGGACACAAGGAGAGGAAAGTGCTTAGCCAAAAGATCTGTGGACCACCGATGCGGCATAACAACAACCCCCAGGAGGTGCAGTCCATTTCCTTGCACCCACTGGAAATGAGCTGTGGGAGTGAAAAGGGAGGAAGACAGCAGTCGTTGCCAGAAACCCACCACAAGCCTGACAGGCGACAGGCTCTGTGCCGGAAAACCATGTGGGTGGCAGCCTCAGCTTCTCCAAAATGAGGAGACAAATCGCGGCGCTGACAGGTTGTCCCCCTTTTGCACCTGACTGCTGCTCCTGTGGAGCTGGTGCGAATACGCTGGTGCTACTGGAGGCAGACAGGAGATGTGTGATGTGCTGAGTAGCCCAGCTCCCACGTTTTACGTTCTCTTCTTCTTCTTTCCCAAAACATTTAAATCTCCCAACTACCGGCAGTTTTGCAAACTAGACCCTCCAATTTGTGAGAAACTTGTGCAAAAATACACCCGCATTCATTCTTTTATGGTCCCTGCAGTATACTTGCCTGTTTTCCAAAAATGTTGGGCACAGGCCGTTGTATCCCACAGGTGAATGGCAGCTCCTGCCCAACGGGCAGGGAATAGCTCCCGGGTGGGCTTTTTCTCTGTTCACCTTTCAGCAACACGGTGGGCGCCTCCGCCTCCAGCCCCCGGGGAGACGGTTAAAGCTCTTGCAGCAGACGGGGCAGCCACGCACCGCAGCGCGTTCGTTCACCGCCACCCACTCGTGGGGGGGGGCAGCGGGGCTGTTAATGAAGGTGCCACCGCTGCTCGGCCCCCCCCGCGGGGATCCACTCACACCCCACGCCCCCCCCAGTCACGGCATCCCCCCGGGCCGGGCCGCGGGTGGCTGCCATGGGGCGGAGCACCCGCGGGGCACCCCGAGCGCAGCAGAGTGGCGCAGCGGAAGCGTGCTGGGCCCATAACCCAGAGGTCGATGGATCGAAACCATCCTCTGCTAGCCGTTTGTTTTCTCAACTGCGCCTTTTCCCGGCAGCCGCGGGGGCGGCCCCGCCCCCAAAACCGAGCGCGGAGCCGTGGCGGGAGTTGGGCGCGGCGGGGGAGGCGGTGGCGCAGGGCGGCCGGTTAGCTCAGTCGGTTAGAGCGTGGTGCTAATAACGCCAAGGTCGCGGGTTCGATCCCCGTACGGGCCACACACGTCTGTTTTGGTTGGTTTACTTTATTTTTTTTTTTTTTACTTTTTTTTTTTATTATTATTTTTCTTTATTTTTATTTCATTTTATTTTATTTATATTTTTTTAATTTTTATTTTATTTTATTTTATTTATTATTTTTCTTTATTTTTATTTTATTTTATTTTTTATTTTATTTTATTTTATCCTCGACCCTCTTTTTGTCTTGCCCAGTGCCGGGCACTGATGATGTGGAAATCCACAGAGCCCTGTCATGGAGCCGCGCAACCCGGGCTGTTTGAGGAGGCAGCCCGGAGCCCAAAAAAAAAAAAAAAAAAAAAAAAAACCAAACAAAAAAAAAAAAAAACACAAAACCAAACAAACAAAAAAAAAAAAAACAACCGAGGGGGTAAAAGGATGATTTCGATGAATTGACTTCTGGGTTATGAACGCAGCACACTGCCACTGCACCACTCTGCTCTCTCCTGTGCTGCTTCCGCACCGCCTGTTTAGATGCACTCGTGTGGGCCCTCCACACCCTGTTCCTACACCCCTTAGCGCTGGGGGACAGTCCCCTGAGAGCACTTCACCCTCTAGTCTCCCTCACACACTTTCTCCACCCCTTCTTTTGCAGGTTGTCGTTTGAATTCAAGGACCAACTTCACCGCACGCTACGGACAACAGCGCCCATTGAAACGTTGATGAATTGTCAAAAAATCAGCTTTGCGCAGCAAGTCAGTGACCAGTCAAGGGTGCAATTCGTGCACGTGATTGAGTGTCCTAATAGTGTCACAAATGAGATCAAGCGAAATATGCAAAATACATCATCACCATCAGCGCCGTCACAGCTGGCTGCACTGGAGGGGAGGCTGAGGTTGCTGCTCACACGGGAGCTCGGTGCATCTCACACCAGCTGGCTTTTGCAGAGAGGTTTCCCCTCCCCCTTCTTTGTCTCTCTCTCTCTCCCTTTTTTTATTTTTGCCCATAATAAGTATTTATCGTTAATGTATTCCAATGTATTCCACCAGGAACAGACACAGCTAGTAGTTTTCGGTGCCTCCGAGTCTGTACCAGCACCCTTTGTGTAATACCTGTGGGATGCTCTGTTCAGTGCTGCCAAATCCAGCAGCCCAACACGGCCGAGGCTGCCCTGGCTCCATGTCCCAGCTTTAGCCAGCAGCAAGGCTGAGTGTGTATCCCCAGGAGGCACATACACCCCAAACTGGTAGATGAGTAGTTAGATAGAAGATACACAGCCCCTTCCATATCCTTATCCCTCTATTTTCCTACATTTGTGGACCCTGATCCCTCTTTTTCCCCACTTTTGGTTCCTTGCCCTGAACATCCTGTAATAAGTCTTGTACAATCACAAAATGCTCTTCCCCTACATCCCATAACGCGTCCCTCACCCCCTCAGTCCAAGAGGTGATCTGGGGAGCTGCCCCAGTTGACCATCAGGATGGGTGCCACCTCCTGGCCCACGGACGGCCCTGGGAGCCGTCAGGTCGGGGGATCTCTGGCACTGTGGAGGTTCCCAGGGTTCCTCCACCTCTTGTTGTTCCTCTGCTCCTCTTTCTTCATGGAGATGAGGCTTTAATCACGTAACCTCATGTTGTCTCGTGATGCGCGGGCTTTGGAGGCAGCCTGCACCCACCCCAGGCCTGGGGACGCTGTAGGGGAGGAAGCCTGCCTGCACCCACCAGCCCCGAGGGATGCACCCGTGGAGGATGATGTCCTGTGCCACCCCCCAGAGCCCCTTCCAACAGGCACAGTGTGCCTTCGCCAACACCCCACTTCGTTCTGCAACAAAGCCAGATCTGATTGCTCCTTCTTCCCCCACACCAGTGGTTTGGGGAGAGAACCAGGAAGGAAAGACCAGCATTAGCCCCTGCCCCTACCAGCCCTGGCTTCTCTTGCTCCTCTCCATGCCAGCCCTGGCTGACCCTGACACCTCCCGTGCCATCCCACACCCTCCCCGGTCCCTTCCAGAGTGGCCCTTGCACCAGCCCCAGGGGACCCACAGCCCCCACCACTGCTGGGGCTGGCACCACCTCGGCCCCTGGCACCCCGGGACCCCGAGGCTGAGGTGCTGTGGTGCACTGCTCTCGCCTCAAGGTGCTGCACCCCAGCCAGGCCCCGGCTGCTGCGCCTCGCTGCAACCCCACAGGAGCATCTGCAGCTCTGCAGGGCCTGAAGGAAACAAGGATGAGGTCGTGAGAGGGGTCAGGCACGGCTTTGGATGTCAGATGTGGGGATGTGGCTCTAAGAGGGGGTATCAGGGGTGCAGTTGGAGCTCAGGCACGGGATGCAGATCTGGGTTGTCAGGATGCACCACTCTTGAGCATGTAGGTGGTCCTTGACTATCAACCTCCTTTCTTGGGCCCCATCCCATGGGACTGTATCAAGCAGATCCCTAAAGAGGCCAGAATCCACTCTTCTGAAGTCCAGCATCACGATCTTGATTTTTGCCTGGCTACCTCCCCTCGGGACTCTCAACTCCACCACCTTAGGGCCGCTGCAGCCAAGTCTGCCTCTGACCTTCAGTGAGCCCCAACTTGTTGGTGGGCGTGAGGTCCAGCAGAGCACCTCTCCTCGTTGGCTCCCCCATCATTTGGCTCAGGAAGTTGTTATCAATGCTGTCCAGGAACCTCCGGGGCTGTTTACACCCTGCTGGGTTCTCCCACTAGCACGTATCCGGGTGGTTGAATTCCCCCGTGAGGACCAGGCTCTGGGAATGTGAGGCCGCTTCCAGCTGGCTGTAGGCTGCCTCATCCGCTTGTTCTTCCTGGTCAGGTGGCCTATGGTGGACACCCACGACAGTGTCACCCGTAGTGCTCTGCTCTTTAATCCCAAGCCATAAACTCTCAGGTGGCTGCTCACCCCTCCCCAGGCAGAGCTCCAGGCACTCCAGCTGCTGCCTCACCTGAAGGACAAGTCCCCTTCCTCATCTTCCTGCCTTGTCCTTCCTAGACAGCCTGTGTCCCTCCATCACAACGCCCCAGTGATGTAAGATGTCCCACCACATCTCCACAATCCCAACAAGACCGCAATCCTGTGACTGCACAGATCCCCAGGTCCTCATCTCTATTCTCCGTGCTGTGTGCATCACAGACAGCCATAGCAGAGAGGCAGCCCGGCATGCCAGTAGCCCCGAAAGGGTTTGGGGAACTTCTCCAGAGCGGTACCTTGGAAGCGCTTCCTTGCTTGCATGCAAAAACAGCACAGTGGAGAACCGACTGAATCAAGGTGCTCCAAAAGCAACATCGACTCCAGGGATGCCTCACCAGCTGCAGAGGTTTTGAAGGACCATGACATAAACGCACACACTGAGCACTTTTATTCAGCCAGGCAGTTGGGAAAGGAGACTAGGCCGGCCTGCCCAGGAAAATTGGGCACCGGGAAGGATGGAGCACTGATCCACAGATTGAGGAGTGGGCAGTAGAGCTCAGGAGGATGGGGAGGGGTGGGTTGGAGAGGGGTGGGTAGATACAAAATAGGAGGAATCCCAAGCTGCAGGGGGTTAAAGAAAAAAATGCAGGTATGAAACCAGTCAGAGAGAAGGCAGTGGGCACACAGGCAAAAATCATGTCTGATAAGTGCTTTTATTCTCAAGAAAGGTCAATATTCTGCACAGAGGAGGTTTCAGTTGCATCTCATCTGCTCACCCCTGTTCTAGGAACAAAAAGCATCAATAATGATTCTTCGAAAAGAAAAAACAGCCCTTCAGCTGCTCTGTTTTACCAGTAAATTCAACTTACAGCTTCCCCATTGGTGTGGTACCCTTTGGGCTTTGGGGGTGTTTTTTGGGGGGGGGGGGGGGTGGGGGTGTGTGTGTAAGCACATTTCCTTAGAGTAAGCTATCTCATTTGAATACCTTTCCTATAGCACAGCTTCAGGGTGTGTTACTGCAAGCCCTGAGCTACTTTAGCCCCATATTCAACTCCCACCCTTGAAGAATTCTGATCTCCATGGAAGGGTGCATTGTGTTTACATGGCAAGGTTGGAGGGGGGCGGTGCTGCAGGGGTGGCCTTGCCCGAGCAATAAGCAAAGCTGGTGGGCACCTCTGTAAAAATATATTTACGAATGGACAAAACACTGCCCAGAGCGAGGAAAATAAACGTGCAAGAAACAATCCCACTAACACCAAGGGCAGAGATTGGCAGGAGACGCTCCCAGCACTGGAGCAGTTTCCCCCGCAGGCTGGGGAAGAGGACCACGCTGTAGCAGACAGCCACGCAGGCCCCTGACACAGCAAATGGGTATTCCCTAAGGAACTGCAGTCCATGGAAAGCCCACACTGGAAGCTGTTCTCTCCCTTATCTGCCATAACCTCTGTACTTAATCTGCCTCATCAGGTAAAGGGTTTTGTAACACTTTATAAATGAATAATCACATTAACACCACTGGAAGGACTCACTGTGTGATTACGGTATGTGATAGGGTGTCCTGGTTCGGGCTGGAACAGAGCTCCTGTTCATTTTGGTAGCTGGAGGAGTGCTGCAGCACACTGAGATTCCAGGGACTCCAGCTCCACGCGCCCTGCCTGCGCAGGGAGGGCACACAGCTGGAGCACCGGGCCCGGATTGGCCGGTATTCCATGTCACGTGACGCTGTGCTCACCATATAAGGGAGGGGTGGGCGGGAAGAGGCGCGCACTCACTTCCGGGATTGCGGTCGCAGCATCTTTATGTTTCGGGATGGCTAACCGGGAACGGGGGTGGTGAGCAACCGCATTGTACATCACCCGTTCATACTGCCACCCCATTATTTCATTACTGTTATTAAACTGTTTTTATCTCAACCCGCGAGTCTCCCTTTGCCCCTCCAATTCCCTCCCCGGCCCCAAGTGGGGGAGGGTGGGCGAGCAGCTGCGTGGTGCTTGGCTGCCGACCAGGCTCAAACCACGACACAGGTCAAACTGGTTTTCAGACTGAGGTGCTAAAATCCACGTGAGCATGCACGTGAAGGGAACGGGGCAACCACCAGTTAAAGTACAAGAACATATCCCCACCAGACAGTCAGGTTTCCAGCGCAAGGTACCATCACTGCAGGGCTCAGTGATACTAATATACGATCTAGCTCAGCACTACTCACCTCTTAATTCAGCCAACCAGACTTTCTGCTGCTATAACTAGCGTGAACATATCAAAATGGACATTAGGGAAAGAAACAGCAAGAAGCACTGGCTTGTGAGAGGAGTCATGACTTCTCTACAGTGACTTGAACACTATTCCGGACTTTTCTAGGCTTCATATCTTTTTCTTTGTCCCAGGTGTCTTCGGGTAATCTCCAGTAGTCTGCGTTGCCAAAGGAAGTTTCAGAAATAAGAAACAGCAGCTCTGTTCCATGAATCACAAATCATGTTTGCCAGGTTAATACACACAACACAAGCAGTTTTAGCAAGCACAGTTTATATACATTGTCAAACATCGAAATACATCAGTTCCAAGGCCTTATTTAGGTACTGTTGCCTCCTCCACTGTTCTTTCCAGAAGCTCCTGCTTTCTGCAGCCGACTCGCACTTGGTTGACGAGGCATCCTCTGGGCAGATCCTTCCCGGCTGCTCCTTTCTGCTAGAACCTGAGTCCCACTGACAGAATTGGTTTTATTTCTCCCTGAATAAACAAATACATACATTAATTTTCAAGTCCCAACCCTACATGTCACCCACACAGCACCCCAGCTGCAAGCGTTCCTTAAGAAGTCATGCAAAAGGCAAAATTCTATTAGATGTCGCAAATGTATCCAGCATCCAGCACAGAAAGCTAATTTGTGAATTCAGCTCAACAGGTATCAGGGCCACAAAACCAAAACAAGTCGCAGCAGGAGCATTCTTAATTTTCATCAGGTTTAATCTACAAAGTAACCAGGCACTTTGTTCTTTAAACACTTGCTTTCATTTGGCACAGAACACCAGCACTGCAAACAGCACTTCAAGAATAACATGAAGAGCATCTGACACCTCAAGGTTGGGATAAGTGAATCCACGTGCCAGCATCCACCAGTTTCTGAAGGCTGCAGTCACAGTATCAGATCAGAAACCCTTCTCTTCACGTCACTTCTGGAACTTGATGAGCAAGTTCAGATTTCCTATCGTTTTCTGGAGTTTTCAGAAGCTCAGACTCCTACACAGAACCTACTCACAGATTTTCTTACTGTGCTCAGAAGGTAAGAATTATCCTTCTGTGAGCACACCTGACCGTCTCCAAAATGCAATGCAACAGCAGAGGGAAGCAATGGGTAGAAAGGTGTAAGTCGAGGGAGGCAAGGGGCATGGAGCCCACCCTGATGGATGCAGCCAGAGGAGAGTAACAGACCAAGGTGTACTGAAAACAAATGACAGGAAGGGATAAGCAAGGGACTGACTTTCCCTGGCCCTGGAGAGAACTACTTCAGATGAGAAGTAGGACAGGCATTAGGGAAGATAATAAAAATAAAAGAAACAGGAGGCAAAAGGATCACAGCTTCTACTAAAGCTAGCAAGCTCCAGGAAGCATCATAAAAAATTAGTAATATCAAGGAGGAAACAAAACACAGGAATGCAGTGAGCTGTAGTTACTGTAGTTACACGCATGCAGTTAAAATGAAGTGTGACATTTTAGCAATCATTATCAGAGCAACTTCCAGAATACCAACAGCCACTCCATACACTGGAGTCTCCGTGGGCATGGTTTGGAAATCATCATCTTTGATCATTTGTGCTATGGACAGCACAGACTGGAGATATCTGTTTTACTTACCAAACCATCCTGTCTCCTTCAAACAGCTGTCTGAGAACAGGACTCACATCGATACCACAAGTTAACACCTTGCAACATCAAAAAGACAACCTGAGAGCTTCCAAACAAGAATATGTGGCCCCTTCGTATCTGTAAAATTTGACAGACTAGGGCAGCCAAAGAAATACATTCACTTATCCCAGCCAAATCGGTGCTCTTAAAAAAGTCTATTAGTGTAAACCACACTAGTGATCTGCCAGCAGTTACCACCCCAAGCCAGCCAACCAGCCTTGCAATCTTTCTTTGTAGCTCAAGCACTTTAAGCAGTTTCCCTAACGCAAGTATTGTCCATGAAAACAAACAAATTGCACAAAGGCAATACATGATCTCACAGTATGAAAAAAACATTGGCAGGAAGAAAAAGCATTATAGTTCACCATATAGTTCACTTTTAGCAATCCAGGACATCTCTAGAAGTGAATGCCCTCCCCTTCCTCACATGCGTCTATCCAGTGAGAGTGCAGGTCCTCAACCTGTGTACGACAACTCCAACCACGTGCACATGCAAAACTGTACCATTAAGCACTACTGGGAGTCAGGCCCTTGATCTTCTGACCTAGCTGAAACAACTTGGGGAAAAAGAATCCCTTTATGGAAGAGAAGCTGTGCTCAGTCAAAGCACATGCTCTCCATCCTCTTAGCCTCAAAATCACAGTGAAACAAACCAGTTACTTCAACAGCACAAAAAACAACTATGTTTTTGGAAGCATCTTATCTTGACCTGTGAACCAGTCAAGAACAGCCCATGAAATGCACAAGGACGGGCCTGGTTTTTGCACTTCTGCCAGTTAAAACATCAAAAATAACAGACTCAATTAATGCAAAGGACAAAAAAAAAAAAAAAAAGGTGATAACCACAAACTCTCTGTAATTCAAGTACTACAGACAAACAAAAGGATTCCACTGATATTTTCCTTGGTGACACAAGATGTCCTTATCTTGGATGTGTCTGGCTGTCATAGAACAACCGCAGCTCAAATACCTACAGATGCAAGAGACATGCCAAGAGAGACTAATCAAATACCTCCCTCCCCAAAGATGACTTTGAAAGAAGCTATCTCCTCAAGAGCCAAACACAGTTTGAGAAGAATGGTATGTGCATGTAAGCAGTGTCAGAAGCATGCCCTGCCTACCACCGACTGCTAGTTCCCCCCATTTAAAAACAGCAGTGCCCACTGTGATCACGCTGCTCACTGGACACATTAATGCTGACCATTTCTGCTGAAACCCAAGGCCAAAAGGCTACAGCCTCCTCTAGGAGAGGATTGCCACCAGGTACTGAGGCAGGAGTCTGCAGGGTGGCACCAGGCAAGAGGAGAGAGCCTTAAGTAGTAGTGGGAGGAAGAAGCACCTTCATGTGTCAAGCAGGAGGCAAGTGAAGACTGATCAGATTTAAGGAAGGAACCCCAACTCCAAATATGCTTTCAGAAGTAGAAATCTAAAGCTTTTCTCTTCCAGTCTCCTCTCTACTCAGCCCACTGTTTTCCCCAGGGTATCCTTTCCTACCTCTGAGCAGTAACAGGGACTACAGATTTTCCTCCCGCTGGCAAATAAATAAATAAATTACTATTGGTACGTTTGCTTGTAACAGTCAGGGATATCAGGACTGCAAAAATCTCAAAATATCTCCTGTAGTGCATATGGGCAGTGACTACGGGCTAGAGCAACCGTGACAGTACATTTAAATTCTCCAAAATCCTGTTTCTGTCTCACAGTAGGGTTTACACCAGGGATAGTAAACCAGCTGGCTTTTCTAGACAAGCAAAGACTCAGGTTTTGGTGTGAATAAAACAAACTTGTAAGAGCAGAAGTCCCTCCTTTTTGCAATCACTGTGTGTTAGGTAACACCCAACTAAAGGGACACCTTTTGCCCCATCACCAGAAGCATGCACAGTAATGGGACTCACTTCCAATCTCATCACCTCCTGACCATGGAAGATTCTGACACAGCTAGACTTCACTCCCCAAAGCAGTCCCACTATGCAACTCTGGCTCATTATACTCAGTCCTTTTCCAGACTGCTGGATTTACCCTGCAGTCTTACTCACATCCCTACATAAATATCACAAGTAGTCCTCTTCTGCAACACAAACTGTCAGGTTCTCAGATCTTCAAAGATGCTACCATATCCTTATCAGCTAATTTGCACACTGGCCTCTCTCCAGAGCCAAAACATCACCCCTGCTAAAGCAGCCTCCCTGAGAAGACAGAGTAAAGCAGACAGGTAAGACTGGCAAAATATGTCTCAACAAATCCAGCTGAACTGTTTTGAAACAGAGGAGGAGGAAAAAATAAGAAGGTGGTTTTCAAATGCATTTTCCAAAGCACTTCACTAAGACCTTAAGTATGCATTGAGCAGAGGGCCATTATTTAAGCACGTTTTTTCTTGCAAACTCTTATCTGAAGAGAAAGATTTGGAGAAAGAACACAAAGTAAGTGGAGAACTACACAGGCCTGTGAATCAATCACCCACACGGAACTTACAGCCTTCCTCTATCCTCCAGCAAGCCTGTTTCTTCATAACAATTTAAGGTATTCAACCGCATTACTAGATATCACTGCAAAAGCAAGCTTATATTAACAAAGTCACAGATCCTATTCAAGATATTGACAAGCCTCCTTGGGTGCTCAGACATCCCAGTTTAACACATCAGGCTAAGAAGCCTCTAAATGAGATGTCTGAAGGTAGGTTAAGGTACAGAGCAATTCCCCCCTCCCAGGGCAGAGGTCTGCATTGGTCTGATCAGTCTGACAGTCCTTTTCCAAGGCAACTCTCTGAAATAATATTTCATTCTCATCTACACAATGGCTGGATCCTCCCTTACTCTAGTATCTATCTTACTTTGGGAGGCTGCCAGCTCAACCACCTATAAGGCGTCTGGTTTAACGAAGACAAGGTTTTCATTCATCTCTCCCACTCTTTTCAGAGACGGTTCCCTTCAAGGCTGCTCAGCAGAGCCACAGGAAGAGCTCCTCTCCCATCCACCGATCACCATGAAATGCACCAGCCTTTCCCCTACAGATCCTCACACGGTCCTGGTTGCTCCTCGTGTTACACATTTTCACCACCGAATCTGGGATAGTCTCGTTTCCTCTCCTTCTCCTGCACAGAGATTACAGAAAGAGAAGATGGAGAAGAGGTCCCTCCTTTTTCTCAGGGAGCTCTATTCTGCCTACATTTATAAGATTTTTTTTTAAAGTGTTTCTTTGGTTGGTTAAGGGGGAAGAATGAATTAGCTGTCATTCACAAACTCACATCTCATTACCTTGCAACAAAGCCACACACGATGAGTCTGGCACTTACAGTATTCCTCTAAATCTCTTTTCTTTCTGTCAGTTCTTGCCACACAGAGCATGAAAAAGAAAAAAAGCTTGAAAATCAGCCTGAAAAGACATACTGAAAAAAACTATCCCGGAGCAGTGTTTAGCTCAAACAGCCAGCAGAGAGGAAGGTTCACAGCTTCAGGCAAACCTGCAAACCTCCTGTGGGGGAAGCGTGAGAGGAGACCAACCTGCACTGGCTAGAGATCCCCAGTCCTCTTCGCTACCCGCTCCTACTGACAGCACTGCCAGTGCCATCCGAGTCCAGGTTTTAACTTGCCCATCCATGCCCATCACACCTAAAGCATATATAAAAACATTACACAGAACCACAAAGACTACTGAAGGGATCCCAATACCTTCAGGGAATGCATCGGCACACAGTGCCTCCTCTTCAACTGTGGCCTGCTCAAAAGCTACCAGCTTCTCCAGTGGACACAGCTGACCATAGCTAAATTATCTGGCAAGTTTGCAACAGGCTCCCACTGTATGCAGAGCACTGCAAAGAACATAGC